TAGTTAAGAGAAAAGAGTCTTTTTCAAGAGTCGGGAGAACTTGAGATAAACAAAAACAAAAAAAGAGATATAAACCAAAACACACAGGCTTTTTCATGTCACTCAGTGGTACCTGAACTTCAGTACTATGGGTCAAAAGCAAGGTGTGTTACCATCCTCCAGTCATCTTGGTGAGTGGTGAGAAATAAATAGCAAGGAATAGATAGATAGATAGATAGATAGATAGATAGATAGATAGATAGATGGTAGATAGATAGATAGATAGATAGATAGATAGATAGATAGATAGATAGACAGACAGACAGACAGTACTCATGCACAGACAGGCATTCAAACAATGGTGGTTGACAGACAGACAGTACTCATGCACAGACAGGCATTCAAACAATGGTGGTTGCCATGCATCAGTTTACAAGTGCTAAGAATTTCCTATACTGGGTACATCACAGAGCCTGACCATGACTTTCATCACAGTAAAGGAAGAGGACAAACCTCAGATGAATACAAAATACACATCTGTCTTAACTGGCTGACAAAAAGAACAGATGTAAAAGATAATTTGTCAGGTTGGGATGTAGCTTTTCTGGCTATTAAGAGTATATTCTTTCTATGATGCTATAAACTATGCTATCATATTTCAATAATAAATGAAAACACGTTTGAGTGTTTACAAGGAACCAGTACCTCACAATCTGGGTGACAATCCTGAGAAATAAACTGGGCAGACATAATTTTCTCTAATAGAAAGGTATTAAGTATGAAATTTCCCCAAACGGCTCATGTGTTGAACACTAATGTTCCCATCTTTTTTGTGAGGTTCTGGAAACCTTAGGAGGCGGGGCATAGCTTAAAGAAGTAGGTCACCAGGGACAGGTCTGGGGGTATATCTTGTCCCTGGCCCTTCCTGATCAGCCAAGAAGTGGGCAAACTTCTCCACATGTGACTGCTGTCATGATGTGCAAGCACATGAACACGGACTGAAATCTTGGAAACTGTGAACCATAATTTTCCTTCCTGAGGCTGTTTCTGCCAGGTGCTTTTACCACAACATGGGGGGAAACAACCACAACAGGGCATCAGGTATCCAAGGGATAAAAATGATGTGTTCAAAGGAGCCGGATCTGATACGCAGTTTATCTACAAGACATAATCACTCCAACATTACTATATGCAAATAGAACATGTTATCTTTGGAGTAATTCTATCCTTAGACAAGTACAGCTAATCCATTAGGTTTACATTCTAGGGATGGGAAACGCTAGCACTTGCACTGGCTCCTCTTCCCTGCAGGAACCGATCAGCATCTTCTTTCCTACAGAGCCTAAGCCCAACCTCAGAAAGTTCCTGAATATATTGTTCCACAGAGCCCCTACTGATGACAGGCAATATGAGCAGGCTAGAAAAAAAACGTTCTGACTTTCCTCACAATAATACTTGTTTCTGACATTGTCTTTGCTTTTGATTTATTATGTTAATGGTCCTCACATTGTTTTATGTCTGTATATATTGTCTTTGTCCTCAAGTACTAAGTTGTCAACTTGTATTCATTTAAGACTATCAACTACATGAATTAATGCAGAACAAGCAATCTACATTAAAGTGTTCTGAATACCCTAAGAAAAATGTGTGGTATTTGGGGGCTGAGCAGAGAATCAAGAGTTAAAAAACCAAGAAACTCTTCTTATTTCTGAATGTTGTTTAGATCAGGAATCAGTAAACTTCTTCTGTAAAGCCCCAAGATAGCACGTATTATAAGCTCTGTGGACCAGTGGTTTGTGATGCAACATGGAGTCTGAAATGACATTGTGAAAGCTGCACAGACATAAACAAAAGAGCATGTCTGGGCTCCAATCACCTACTTATAAACACTGAAAACAGATTTTCATGTTATTTTCACATCACTAAGTGTACCCCTGCTTTGAGTCCCCCAACAACTGAAAATTTCCTCCAATAATTACAGTTATAAAAAAGTATTCCTAGTTTGTCAGCTGTATTTGTATGAGACAGCCCAGATCTGGTATTTTAAAAACGGGAATTTCTGGTGGTCTGAAAACGCAACTACTATTCAAATGTGTGAGACCTTACTTTCTTTCCACCAGAACAAGGTACACAGAGCAATGCAAACGCAAGGGAGAGGGCCCAGCTGCTTTGTGGGCCAGAAGTTGAGCTTTGTAAAAATGAGAAGCAATGCCTTCTTGTCTCAGTAAATTTTCTTATGTTTGGGGAGTAGTTACACTTCATATCAAATGTCTGATATGTTTATATTTAACATGTAATGGGCATAGTTCTTAAAACAGATAATTATGTTTTAATCCTCGGTTCTGATTTCCAACAGGATAACTACTGAGGCATACACGTGCAAATTGAAACCCTGGGACCCCAGCAGTGTATACTCAGTATGTCAAAGAGGCATGGGATCACAAACTGAGAACTAGCTGCTTAGCTCTGGCAAGGGGAACTGTGACTGCAGCGGAGTATGCCTAGTCCTGCCCACCACTCAACCACCTCCGTCCTCCACCTTAATGTAACCCTGTTCAAGAACTACATGACATTTCTTTCATCAAATTATGATTTGATAAAGTAAATCCCCTGCAAATTATACCTCACATAATGAATATGGAGAACATATCATGGATGTTTTCATGAAAGAACAACCTTTTACACACATATTTCAGTTGTTTTTATCTTTTAAGATAGTCTTGCCATACAGTTCTGGCTGGCCTGGAACTCATGACGTAGACCAGGCTGGCCCCAAACTTCAGTGATCTGTTCACCTCTACCCATGAACGCTGGGATTACAGGCCTGCCCCACTATGCCTGGGTCTCACTTCAGATTCTACTTCATCAAAATAGGCAACTACAAGCAAGGGTCTGTCTCTCACTTCTACTTTCCAAACTTTAAAAACAAAAGATTATTATTTCAACTCCTTAACTGCAGAACATATCTCAGAGCAGATTCACTAGCCCATTTAATAAGTCACAGTGTACCTCAAATCTGGACTTACATTCACTATGAGAGCTTGGTCCTAATCAAGAGTCTCAAAGGAGAGTGGGGGAAAAAAAGCCATCAGACATCCTGCAAATTTAACTCACAGTGCACCATATATATATATACATACATACATACACACACACACACTAGCACTTTATTTTATTTTATTTGGTTTTTTCGAGACAGGGTTTCTCTGTGGCTTTGGAGCTCTGTAGACCAGGCTGGCCTCAAACTCACAGAGATCCGCCTGCCTCTGCCTTCCGAGTGCTGGGATTAAAGGCGTGCGCCACCACTGCCCGGCTCTACTAGCACTTTAAAAGAATACCAATATTCTGTTTGCTATTCAAGATCTAGACCTTTAAAAGTAACATTTTAGGGGAAATTAAAGGGAAAGTTCTGTTAATCCCAGTGTTGCAATGTATGAGGAACTCTTGCATAAGGAAGCATTTCGTTCAATATAAATTTACTTTGTCATTAGATTTAACTGTCCAAATGATGTGAACAGCTAAACCTGGGGAAACATACTTCTCTTCGTTCTCCTCTCTCTCGCTCCATAATAATTACAACTTCAATACTTACTTTGTTGCATTACGTGCTCTTAATTAGGAATTTCCCCCAAGACCATATTATTCTAAAGGTCACTATAATTTCTTTTACAGAACAATAACTTTGTGAGTTAACAAAGAGGAAAGATTTTCTTTATATTTACCCCTTAGTTTTTATTATGAAATACTGTTAAAGTAAGGGATTCTGACCTGATGTTATATCTGTCATAATCTGTAGAACCAAGTACCCTAAACTTCAAAGTATGTGTCTGAGAAATGTGAAAACTGAAAGGCCCATCCTGTCTCCTCTAGGGGTTACTCTCTACTCGGGGAACAGTACAAAATTACTGTAGAAGGATTTTGGAAGTGACAATATTCAATGAAGAACCAAACAGAGGGAAAATGCTTACTGTTTAAATCTACAGAACAGCAACAGTCTCATCATGATTGCAAAACTTTCTAAATTGTGAAACTTAAGTTATTTGTAAAATAGACAAAACTAAAGCAGCTTCCTCAGTCATTTTTGAGATCTCAGCACCAATTTAAAGAAAACATTCCTATTTAGAAGAAGGCCTACTTTAAAACACAAATCGCTACACTGAGTACATCTGTGGCCATAAGATGAATCTATGCCACATGTGCCATCCCTGCTCTGTCAGTAAACAAATGAACTTGAAAGACGAGTAATGCTAAAGAGGGAAAATTTATCTGCTCCTTTATACTGTTCTTTAAGGAATAAATGAATCTCAATTCTAAAACAAACCAAAACAAAAAGACCCTACACAACTAAATAGATTCACAGACCAAAACAAGACGTAATTCACTTGACACTGTTTTGAGAACCACGTGGAAACCAGGAGAGAATAGAGCACTGGTTCTCCACTGTGCATCAGACATGTTATTTCTGGTACATTGTGTGTGTGTGTGTGTGTGTGTGTGTGTGTGTGTGTGTGTGTGTGTGTAATGAATTATTTGCTGAATCTCATTTTCAAGTCAAAATTATGCCAATTAAAAACCGTAAACAAAACAGCCGTCTAAAGTAGAAGCCAATTTAAAATCACATGGAAGGAATTAACAGTACCCAGGGCACAGCATCAGAGGGACTTGGACTGTGTTTGAGAAGAACACTGAGGGACCTTCTCCAACGCTGCTCCACAGCAGCAAACAGGAACAAACATACTCTAGAGCTTGGCACAGCAGTTCATATTTTGAAAGAATTACCACCATCATCTGAATAAAATGGTTTCCCATTTTATTTTGTTTTCTGAATTTCCCTCCCAAGCAGTGAGACACTTTGTGGAAACTGTAGGCTTTCAGAAATGGACAGGTGACTGGAACTAAAATTAGACAAACACAAAACCGCAACAAGACAAGGCACTCAGGAGGAGAAAGCAAGCAGAGGAGAGAACTGCTCACGGGTCAGGTCCCTCACGTCAAAAGCCAAAGCAAAGCGGCAGACTTACATTGCTTCTTCAGCTCCCTCAGCTGCTGCTTATACTGCACAAACTTTTCATTGTCTTTAAAGTCAGCATCAGAATTCTTATCCTGCAAAGCCAAAAATTTCTTCTCCACTAGTAATTTTAAATCTGGCACTTTTTCTGGACGTTCTTCTTTTACCTAAGGAAGACAAGAAATTCATCTAAGTTAGAGACCAGAGTTGTCAACAAGGGTCACTGGATACTGTTAACCTCATTTAGTTCAAAGGACAGAAGGGGAGAAAAAGCTTCTCCCCAGAGGTAACAAGAATACTCAGAAAAGGTGCTGGGACTCACCCTCTACCTGCTGGTTCTGCCTTCCCTGACGCCCCCACACCGCCTGTCTCTGTGTCCATCACCTCACTGAAAACTGCAGATGAGGCCAGGCAACAGCCCAGACCTGGGCATCGTTGCCCTTCCTTCACTAATGTCTGCTCGGCCTGTCCCTTTGTCAAGAGCAGTTACTCCACTGTTGGTCTCAGTGTCCTCTTCTAGCCCTTGACCAGCTGGTGACAGCGATGCCCCACAATACAACAGAAACTAAGGCTTCAATCTTGGCCTCCATAGTTCCCCAGCCTAACAAGGAGTGAGGGTCCCCTTGTTCTGTTCAAAGCCAGACTCTCAATGTATGTTCTTCTCCCTAAATAGTATAAAAATTTCAGCCATGCAGAAATATTAAACGTATCGGATTGTGAACATTACATTCTTACTCACGGCCCCAATCACACTTGGCTGTGTGTGCACTACCACATCTGCACCATCTGTCTTGTCCCTGAGTTTGTCCTAGCTAACTTAGATCATCTCTTCTAGAACAATGTTCAGGAGCAGCAGCGGCAGCGGCAGCAGCAGCACTCTACTAGAGCCCCTGGTCCATCTTTCTGAGTGTGGCCCATACCTTTGTGGTTTTCCCTTTGTTTGTATGGAATGGCAGACAGTGCCTTGGTTCTAAACAAGCTACCCCACATCGGCAGTAGAGTCGGAGACCCGTGAGGTTGGGTCCACTCTTCCAGGATTCAGTTCAGGAAACAATCTCCTTCTCTATGAAGAAGTGAAATTTTGCTTGACGTCTTAAATGTTTTCACTGCTCACACCGCCACTACCACTCATCTCTCAGCCATTTCTGATGGCAAAAGCCTTTTAAGGCCAAGCATTCCCATCTAAATAGCAAGTTTTCTAGTGTGGAGAAAATAATAAGCAACTTCGTCTTTACTACCTAGGCCACTGGGGACAATTATAGGACAAAAGACAGGAGGATGGCTGGCGGTGCAACTACCTGGATCTTGAAGAGTAAACGTGTAAGTTTTCTGTTGGTAAACTCAAGGAGCTGCTGCCAGGAGCAAGCTAGCTCTTCATCTTCTCAGAACCCACCAGAGATGACCTAACCTTCCATATTACAGATGAGGAAATGAAAATCAGACATAACAGGTCTTGTATACAGCACTGTGGCTCCCACCGTTAGCTCTGGTTTTGCTTTGGTGCGAGGGTGGAACCTGCTGAATGCTAAGCACACGTTCTACCACTCGTTACAGCCCAGCCTCTGCCAGAAAATCTTAAATGCCAGTGGGACTTGGCTCTTGGCCTATCAGTGATGTCCACAGAATATGATTTTGGAAAAGGAGAAAGATCTTGACATTGGTTACATTCCATTTCCTTCTTTAGGTTTTCATTTATTATTCTAAATTATGTGTATGTACATGTGTCTCTGTGTGGGTATGGACATTGTGAGTGCAGGTGCCTACACAGAGGCTAGCAGTTTCGGATAGCCCTGCTACCCGACCCCCTAGGACTGCTGGAGCCACGTAACATAGGGGCTGGGAATCAAACTCAGGAAGTCTGGACAAGCAGCCACCTCTCAACCCTTACTTTCTATTTGTGTCCACCTGGTAGAGAAGAGCCGGTTTCTACTTCCTCGCTCCCGGGTTCTAGTTACCACATCTCCGCTCCTCCTGCTCTGCTCACCGCTGTGCTGGCAACCACTAAAAAACTCCCCTTGTTGTCTTTTACTCCTACTGAAACAGAAACTCTTTGAAAAATGTCTGGCTTATCAGACAGATAGGAGTTAGTACTCAATTATTTCAAATTCATATTAATAGGACCAAACGGACTTAATCTAATAAAAGCCAGAATTATCAACTTATTATTGATATTACTGGAATATATAATTTCTGGATTGGAAGACAGCTTATAGACCATCTAACCTTGATCTTTTTAATCAGTTTTAAAATGTTAAGAACTATTGTTAGGCATCATTACGTTGGCATTTTTTGTTCCGTGTTTGACTCTATCCTAGGTCTCTGGGCCATCCAATCTCTGGGTCCTGGCACTCCAGGCAGTGAGTGTCAGGGTGGGCTCATTCTTGTGGCATGGGACTGAGGCTGGACCAATCATTGGTCGGCCACCCCCACAATCTCTGGACCCACCTAGGCCCTCTACATAAGTGACAGTTGAGTAACTTGGTCTACTTGTGGGACTTCTAACAGTGGGAGCAGGGGCTGTCCCTAATGCTTTGGCTGGCTTTTGGGAATCTATTCCTTGCCCAGTCTTAATACAATGGGAAGAGCTTAGTCCTACCTCAACTTGATATGCCATGCTTTGTTAACTGTGGGAGACCTGTCCCTTTATGAGCAAAAACAGAGGAGTGGATTGGAGGGAGGCAAGGGTAGGGAATGGGAGGAGAGGAAGGAGGGGAAACTGCTATTGGGATATAAAATAAATAAATTTAATTTTAAAAAGCTAAAAATTTAAAAAGTTTAAAAAGTTAATTTTAAAAATCTAAGTTTAAAAACTTAAGTTTAACTTTTAAAAGTTAATATAAAAGAAGTTAAAGGACTTATCTTCTACCCTCTAATTAAAGAAAATTCTTGGTTTTATTTCAAATTAGTGTGATGTATTTCTAAGTTCTCAAACCGACCAATGCACGTGAAGCAAAAGATTGCCCACTGTGACCATCTTTGGTCACAGAGAAGAAAATTGTTTTCTTTACTTAATTGCTATGGCTTTTGTTTTTGTTTCTTCCCCCCCCCCCCGACAGGATTTTTCTGTGTAGCCCTGGCTGACCTGGAACTCACTCTGTAGACCAAGCTTTCCTCAAACTCAGAGATGCACCTGCCTCTGCCTCCCAAGTGATCCCAATGCTGGGATTAAAGTGCTCCACCACTCCCTGCTTAATTGCTAGGATTCTGATGAGCTAGGCAGAAGTGAAAATTTAAGCAGAATGCCAAAAATGTCCAGTCATACTTATGCAGCAGAGTGAAAGAAGTGTCTTTTACTGTGTCACTCGGCCATGCTTGAGTCACCACCAACTGCTGCAGCAATAACCATAATGTGCTTCAATGACAAGTTTCATAAAATTTTCTAAATAGCTCCTGAGAAGCTAAAGAACCAATAAAACTCAATTAGAAAAGACATGGCAAATTTAATAGTTTAATAATACATATTAAAGAAAACAGGAGCTGTGAGCCAATGATGACCAGCTAGCTTCCTTTACTATACATGACAAAATAAGATGAGACAAATTCCAGACTACAGCATCAAGAGTTCAGGGTAATCTCAGATCCAAACCGCTCTTTCTATAGAGAAGGATTTCTAGTTTACAAAAGAAAATGGACTCACATTCAGCTAAGACAATGGCAGAACAGTGATTAGAAAGGCAGATGAGGCTTCTTAAGGAGTCTGACCAATCTGAAATCAGGTCACGAGCTGGGATGATGAGCAAATATCAGATCTGAGCAGATGATAAGGAAAACTCGTTCAGCCCTGACGTGAGTGTTTGCGCCTAGTCTTACTGCATCTTGTAATGCCATGTTTGGTTGATATTCCTGGGAGGCCTGCTCTTATCTGAAGGGAAATGGAGGAGCAGTGGAACTGGGGGAGAGGGAAAATGGGGGTTTCTGGGAAGAGAGAAGAAAGGGGAAACTGCATTTGGGATGTACTCTATGATAGAAGAATAAATCAAAAGAAAAAAGTGTTCTTCATCAGCAAAGTCCTTAAAGCACTCAGCAAACGCAATCCCTGCAATTCCCATAACTCAGTTACAATAGCCACGGCAGCACTACACAGAGGACAGGGTGGAGAGTGATGATGGAGCCAGGAATCAGCATTTGAAGTCAACAAAATATGAAATATGAAACATGAATAGAAAGCAAAACTTTCAAAGATGATAATATTCATTTTATTGGTATTTATGAAATGTGTCAAATATTCAATACACACACATTTTTATCCATTCACCCATCTATTCTAAAATATTACATATAATATATAAATTACAATAAAATATATAACAAAAGGCAGTACAACAATCTATTCATTTATGTTTCCTTTCTTTTTCTTTTTTCATTTGGGATACCAAGTGAACCCAGCATCTCACACATGCTAGACAAACACACAATACAGCTACATCCTAAACTTTTTTTCTCCTTTTTATTTTAAAGCAGACCCTCACTAAACCTGAAGCCCAGGCAGACCTTAAACTTGGATCCTCTTGCTTCAGCTTCCCCAGTAGCAGAGGTTACATGCCTACATTATACCATCTTCCCCCCTTTCTGAAACAAGGTCTTGATAAACAGTTATGGCTGCCTTGGCAAAGATTACTTCCTTTTCTTATCTCCCACTGGCCTTCTTGCCCATCCCCATCATTGGTTGAGCACCTGTGGGCCTGCTGGGAAATGACTCTTGCCAGCAGGTGAGACAGTCAGAGCTGCTCTGAAGTAAGAGTCTGACAGGGACCTTCAGTGTCAGCTGTAGTGATTTCTAACTTGGGCTTTCTTGTTTCCCTTTGGGGGGAAAAACTTGTCTTAAAAATACTGTTCCTTTCTTCTGTGACATTCCTCACTCCTGATTCTTTCCTAGTTTCTCTTTCTTCCTTTTTCACACCATCCAGAACTAAGAGAATTCGGATATTTTAGTGGCAAGGAAGAGCAAAGTAGCAGGAACCAAGTCATGGGAAGAAGAGGCAGGTGTGTCATCCTCACAGAGAATGAAATGAGGTGGGGGAGAGGAGCATGGACGCCACTCCAGGCTGTGCTGACGGATGATCCTCGGGAAACCTTCGGATTCTTGTCGTCATCTCTTTATGAGAAACCAGAAGAGTGTGTGTGTGTGTGTGTGTGTGTGTGTGTGTGTACATAGTATATATAGTAA